CCTTGCCCCTGTAGACCACTGGCTCGAGAACCATGTCTCGAACTTATAGCTCCAAGCTTTCGAATGCTTGCCAGCTTTCCTCGTGAGACCCTTTGAGCTGCTCAGGTTCACCCATGCCTTTAATATCAACCGCACCGGGTTTACTCTTCAAGTTCTTGAGAGCTTCTGTGAGCGCAGCTGTTGATGCTGCCTGGCGCCTTGCAATCTGAGCTTGCCCCAACTGAAGACTCTGAAGAATCTGCCCAAGCATGTTTTCTGCAGCCGAGCCACCTCCTGCTCCTGTGGGTGAATCACTTGGTGACGCTGCTCCTGGTTGTGACATTGCCCCTACTGGTAGGGCAATTGACGGGACAAGCGATCAAGGAGTGAACGGCGGTACACTTGCAAGTACCTACCAAGCAGTCCAAAGATGCTCTGGAATTTCCTGATTCCAAACGGTTTCCTCACCCAACGTGCCCACTGACTCTCTGGGCAGACGGGCGTGCTGTATCAGCACTTCCCGTCGCAGGCTCAACCAAGTCGCTACCTGAACCAGAACCAGGAAGCTCCGCTACCGCGCAAAGAAAATTAGAGTGGATCTAACCACTCCCAATCAACTCAAGCGCAGCGGCTTTCCTTTCTTGCTCTGGGCTCTCAGTTCAGCTTCTGGACTCCGCTGATGGAGTCAAGTGAAAAGGGGTTGCGGGACACATGCACAGTCCACGTGCAGCAAGCTACCTTACACGCTAGCAACTCTCTAGATGGCTACACATCTCTACACAAATGCACGCGAGTATCCACTCAATGTAGACGTGGAGAACGTAAGGGGTTTTAAAGGGGAGTAACATATACATATATATATATACATATACTCGAAGTCACATATATACTCTATGTTTGATAACTGTTGCAGCTCTCCGCCCTTTGCGCCGCTTTTGATGAACGCATGCGTCCAGCTATATATATATATGTTTAATCGACAATCTAGGTAAACGTAAAAGAAAAATACACGGACAAATAGACAAAAAAAATAGTTAATTACGATGAGCAGTCGCGGCGCGACAAGCACCATGTCGCCCCACCATTCGACTTTCATGGCAGACCCATATAGAATCGCCCCACAGCGTTTCGGATGCCTTTCTAGCCCGTCGCATCTGCACTGCCACACACAGGCATTTGCCTTCACCTGCAATTGGATGCGTTCGCAGTTGGGCCACCAGCACCACCTTAAGCAGCAGCGATCTCCACGGCAGCTGCCAAATCCGCCAAGCCCACAGGCAACCTTTATGGCGTGGGGCTGCAGCATCTCTGAATTTGACGGCATTCCGCCAGAACTCTGTCCAAGGCCAACACCAGCGCTGGCACGCTAGCGGGGCTGAGTTGGCCGTCTAAAAGTCGATGAAGGGCTTCCCTGTCAGGCGCCAAAGGCAGGGAACATGGCTTCCTGGGGGTCGATGCGGATTGAAGTTCTTGCATCCATGCTCGATGTGATTTCGGAGGCTGAAGAAGGAGGCCAGTGTCTTCATGCAGTGGGAGCATGTTGGAGTTCCATCTGCAGAATCTCGTGCTGGTTGAAACACGCATGGCTGCTCATCCGTAGCAACAGTTCGGCGCCTCTCCACAGATCCTGGGAGTGGATGATCAGGATCTGGTCGAGGAGGTTCCAGACTGGTTACGTGCTCTGTCAGGAGGTCAGCAGACCGCAACTGTTCAGTTGCCGAAAGCATCACAACTGTGAGTGGCAGCCTTGTCAATTCCACAAGCCAAACAAGCTCTGGTGTCGTTGATCTGCAGGACAATCTCAGGTCTTCGACTTGGAGGCCTCCCACATAGAGTGATACCAGTATGAAAGGCCCTGGCACAGATCATGCAATGCTGCCTAATCCAGGCAGTGAGGTCCGGGCGTTCAAAAAGAGCAACCCAAGCATATGCGCCAACATACTGCCGCATATCTTCATCGTCACATGGAGGCAGTTGGTGAGCTCGGTGAGGGTCAAACATGGTGCAACTGTTAAATTCAATGCGATGTATGAGTCCAGTCCATTGTGCAAATTTGCCCAAACAGTGAGTGCACTGCGGTCGTCCATGAAGAGCATCTCTCAAGTTGTAAAACTGTTCAAACAGTGGCAAGGCCTTGCGTCTCTTTGATAAATGACGATTCAACAATGCCATCAAGTCAAACATCTGTGCGCAATATGGACAGCTGTGAGTCACAGGCACGGAGGTGGAGCTGGGTCCCGGTGTGTCTGCATGAGCCACCTGAAACACTCGCATGACTCGACGTTGAACAGCATCAATGGGTATTCTGTGTAGGTAGTCTCACGTGGGCAGGCCTCGACGGTGGGCTCTGAACTTGTCGAAGGTTTGCCGCCATCTGTCCTGGAAGAAGAGTCTGGGAGGTTTGACGCCAAGTCCGCGGAGAACATCCTCCGCGCGCTCGTGCTTGTCACATGTTGTGGTGACTTCCCTTCTTCGAATGTCTAAGTGGACTCTGTTGCATAGCAATTGAAGTCCCTCCTGTCATAGGCCACTGCATCCAAGTCCATGCGCGCAGCTCGATAGTACGCAGGTGGACCACAGTTGCGCCCGGTCCCGGCTAGTGAGAACATGTTTGCCATTGAACCAGGGTTTCATGCGAGTTCGAGTGATTTATCCAATATGAAGTCTGTGTTTCAACGTCAATTGCTCAAAGTTGTTGAAGGATGCATCTTGACGTCTTGTCAAGTGTTTGAGACATGTCTTCATACCTTTACTCTCAAATCGAAGCAATATTGCCGTCTTCACGAATGAGATCACCAATCCAACTTGTTCAGATAATCGCAATCTGTCTGATGACTTGATGCAGATCCTGCGCGCTATGTATGCTCCATTTGCTCAAAACATCAGATCCACTCAAAAGCCTCGTTGGGGGATTGGTCATTGATGGTCATCCCTATTCGATGACTCTCGCCCTTCCCAAGGCCGCAAGTCTTGGGCCTCAAGTCGGCCGGAGAGAGAACTTTCTTCTTGGCCAGAAGTGTGAGGTGTGCATCCTTCCAACATGCTGGTCGATGACCCTCTCAGTCCAACATAGGTCGTGATATCCTCATAGGTCCTGAGGCTGGTGAGGCCAAAGTCCTTGAGCAGGTTTCGGAGCACCATGACGTCTGAGGCTGCTACACCTGGTCCAGTTTTGAGGGAGGTGTTGAAATCGCCTCCCAGAACAAGAGTGTTCCGAATTGGGAGTTGGTGCAAAAGTTGTTGAACCAGATTCGAAATTTCAAGTCGATTCTTCAGTGGTTCAGGTAGATGTTGACCAGGTCAAGCTGGTGCTTGTTGAGGTGACAACGAACATGAAGGAGTCGTCCCGCTAGCCAGTCCTGATAGCTTATACCCATCCATGGTGCGTAGAGAAGCACGGACAACAGTCAACAGGCCACCTCCTGCTTTGTGAAGTTCAGGGAATGGGACAATATGAAACCCATGGGATGTCCAAGGTTCCGAGAATGTCCCATGTGTGCTCTGGATCATCATGGCATCCAGTTGGCGGAGGGATGCGCACTGCAAGAGCTCCAGAAAGCCCTCTGAACTGGGGGTTATGGAGTTCCAGCAGCAGATGGCAATCCGCTTCCGGCGTCGTCCTGTAGGTGAAGGCGAGCTGCCACCAGGAGTGTCCTTGTCAGTCCTGGAGGAAGGAGCTCCAGTAAGCAAGCGGCCATGGTAGTAGGCAAAACCATGAAGTGCAAGTCTTTGCTGCGCTCTTTTAAGATTCTTTTTCGAATTCTGTTGATCCCGTGGGATCCCTGGGGCCCTGTGCCGTGAGTTTCGGGGGAAATAACAACGGATCTTCGTCCAACATCTTCCCCTCTCAGGTGAGGCACGGCCCTCACCTGGAGGTTCGGCGTGAAGAGCTCAAGCCACGGTGCAGCCAGAGCTACTGCCAATCCAAGCAGGAGCCAGCGGCCCACGGGAGGCCCAGACCCCCAAAGCAAATGCAGCTGAGTATCAGCCGCCATGGTGCATGTCACACCGTGGCCGGGGTCAGCCCATCTCGACCCAAAAGGCTGATAGATAGATAGATAGATAGATAGATAGATAGGTAGATAGATAGGTAGATAGATAGGTAGATAGAGGCAGACAGACAGACAGACAGACAGACAGACAGGCAGACAGGCAGGCAGGCAGGCAGGCAGGGAGGCAGGCAGGCATGTATGTTGCACTCTCACTATTTTATGGCAATATATATATACATATCATTGCGTTTGTTGTGACTGAGGAACCCGCATCTCCCCAGCCATGCACGGTGAAGGTCAAATCAAAGCGCACCAGCCTCAGATGTGAAAGGAGAAGTCACCAGTGCAGAGTGCCCTCTGGCTCTTGAGAATCAAGTCAAATACACTGAGCTTGGGCTCAAGCAAGGAATGTAGTAGCTGCGCAAAACGAGGTTGAAGTGGGGGGAAGCTCATCCTCGGAAGGTGGTGCGTTCGGGAACTCATCTGATTTTGCAAAGTTGTGCCCAAAATCGAAGTCTTCCAAATGACCCTTTGCTCCAATTGAATTGAATGTCGGCTGTATGCGTTTAAGTCGCAAGGCTGAGAGCACCGCAGGAAGCGTGTTCCTTCATGGCTGCCTGTCTCCAAGACTCGCAACAAGTATGTTTCTCTGCTCCAAACTTCAAAGGTGAAAAGTCGAGTGAAGAAGACACGAGAAGCAAACTCTTATGCTTATCAGGCTAATAATTGGTGGCGCATTGTTGCTGCAAGCCTCGGCGCGCCCGCACCACCAGCGAAGCTAGATCCTATTGCAAAGTCACTGGGTTTTTGGAAGATCTTCCCTGATTCCATGTTTATCAACACTGTTGACTCTCCTCACCTCCTCGGCAAGCGACAAAAACCTTCTCGACGACCTTTACAGCTGTTCTCTATGGTTCCAGCTGCATAGTTGCAATTCTAGAATAGAGCTGGGGTATTTGACATTCTCACGCTCAACAATGCCCTTCCAGCAAACGGCAAGGAAAGCACAGCAACCGCAACCGTACTCTTTTGTCTAAGCTCTCGAGCAAGCGCTGCATTTGCACTTTAGTCAATCTGCTTCGCTCCCCACTTTCCACTTTGCGCATTCGGCCCCGTTGGCTGCGTTGGCTCCGTTGGCTCTTGTCACTAAGATCCTGCTTCAACGCTTCACAGAGTTTCCTTCTTGAACGAAACTTGTTTGCCAGGAGCAAGGCCTTCTTGCTGCTGATGCCGACCTGGCAAAATGGTATATACTCTTTCTCCAAAGGTTTCGTCTGTTGAAACATGCAATCCTATAGGTTGCAATAGTCAAGAAGTTCACGAACGTGCCATGCCATATCACTATATGCGAAAGTTCGTGCGCAGCAAGGTGCCTTGGCAATGTCGTTGACCAGTGCCACGTAGGTCAAAGCGCTACCATCAAGAAATTCAGTGACCAAGTTCAATGCACCTGTGGTATTGAGTTTTGCTAGCTTCATGGCTCCAAAAACAGGATCCAACTCAGAGATCAAGGCCTCGAGCAAGTCAGAGATTGCAGGAGATACTGTGTAACAGGACCAGAATAGACAAGAGTTACAAAGTTCCCTTAGTTCGGAGAGTCTCTTCGTTGATTGTCTTGGCTTTTGCAACATTGAACAAGTCTCCCAGAACCACACCATGTTACTTCTGCTGATTATTTCAATTAGTTCGTTTTTTGCATTTATATCACTTCACTCTGTGAGCTCAAATGTTTTGCCAACTTGCGAGCCTTGCAAAGTGAGGTGGCATCTGGATATTGCTCCGAGATCTTGGCTGCACTGGCTTCTGAGATGCCATTCAATGAAGCAATACGTTGTCTGTATTCCTCGAAAGCCAGCGCCTCCTGAGCAATCTCTGAGCAATGATGGCCCCCTACCATCTCAGAGAGGCTTCTATAGCTATCTTCTTGTCCACTTTGCTTCACCAAACATGTGTTTCTGTTTGAACACTTGTGTACAAAGAGCGAGCACTTGGATTTCATGGGCCCTCCTTGCCAGCAAGCTCCTCCACTAAACTTACCTTTGCTGGCCGTGAAAGCCGCGGGAAAAGCTCTGATAGGGCCCCAACAGGATCCTGCTGTCCTTCAAGAAACTGTATTTGCAACAAAAGACTGAACAACTGAAGGAGTCAGCACCACTTCCAGAGGAAGAATGCCTGATGTGATGCCTGATGTGATGCCGACTGCAAAAACATCTGCTTGTGCGAGGGGTACTTTCAAACTCAAGACAATCTCAGCATATACAAACAGATAGAGTTGATTGCTTATGTGACAAACTCATGGTTAAAGTGTCTGCCTCTAACTTGATGCGGTTTTGACAAAGTTACTTGCGGAGGTGCCAAGCTGGCCTCTGATGTTGCACTCACTAGGACATGCTAGGAGTGCGGCGCTGAGGTCTCGCCGACCCTCGTTGAATCTGAGTGATGTGTTAGTTTTCCGGCCAAAAGTTCCACGGCTCAGCGCAGCGCAGTTTTCTATATCGTACCGATCATGATTGCAGTCGTGATGCAGGGTTATGGGATTTGTGCATTTATGATATGTCAGGCAGGATTGTGAGTTACTTTCAAGGGTGGTGTGGTGATTTGTACAAATTTATGTGGTTTTTACCAGACGAGTTTGGCGACTCAGGGCTTTTTGACATCTGTTACATTTTGCGGTTTTATGGTGATTTGCGATTTGCGACGATTGCACAAGGGAGAGCATTTGGCTGACTTTCAGTCAGTGGACGCTTTACGACGCCGAAGGTGGAGCTTTAAGCGAGTGGGTTATTTAAGTGGCTTGGGGCAAAATCATGAACTTCTGTTCTTTTCGTAAGCTAAACTGCTTGCGCATTCTGTAATTATTGTCTTTTTTCATAATTGTGTTGTGCTTAGGCATTTAACCTTTTATAAAACATGTTCATTCCTTCTTTCAAAATATATACATGTACAATACACACAAAAGAAGTACCAGCACGGTGCAAATGTATAAACCACATTGTACTGCTTCGCAACAATGACAATGGTGACTTTTTTCGATCCTGTATTGGCCAGCTAAGCTTTCCCTCAGATCCTCTGGCACTATTGATGTCTGGTTACGACCTCATGCACATTGTCCTTCTAGGAACTGCTGCATGTTCTCCCTGGTGCTAAAATGGCCAACTAAAGCAGTCGCAGAGGTGCGGGATATGCCTTGAATGGCCTCACTCTCACACCCGGTCATCACGACTGCTGAATTCAAGGCGAGGCGGCAGGGCATGAAAATATCTGCAAAAAACAATGAAAGAAAATGCAAGAAAATTGAAAATTGAATGCAAAATGCCAGGCAGAGCCGCTTCAAGGGAGGAGGTGAAGTTTTCCCGCTGCAGAGTGTCCTTCCCTGCCAGTGTCTCTGCGAGACGGACTGCCGTGGGCCTCCTCAAGGGAGAAGAATTCTTCCCGATGTTTGCCTTGTCCACGAGCCATTGCCTGCATTGCCAACTCAAACAACAAGTACAAGTCTGATTTGAGCCATAGCAATGACAGTCGTGAAATTTCACACCAAAAGGGTGGCTCCAAAGCATAGAGGGAGGGGGTGGCTCCGAAGCCGGAGAGACTTGCGCAGCGCCGATGCTTGCCTTTGAAGTTCTGACGGGATGTAGCGAGGACTTCCAGCATATAAGCGTCTTGTTGGTAAACTATTTTTTCACCTCTAGGAGTTTCCCTCTGCCATCCAAATGCTAATTAATGCACCCTCTGGAAATCTGACACAGGCAGTTTTTATGGCACAGAGCAGGCCGCATGCGCATCAGGAAGTTGGGGACGCACGACGTGAAGGAGAGTGTGACTCAGTGACAAGTATGGGGGGCAAGTAGGCCACGAGACCAAAAAGACTACTGGACACAGACGCAGAGGCTTCTTCAAGGAAGCTGCCCCCGCCTGAGGGTGAGGGGAGTTTCCTTGAAGAGTGCAGCTTTCCATTCCAGCGACAATGTGCTTGAGGATGCAGGGCCAGACGGACAAACGACTCTTGCATGGAAAGAGAAAAGCCGGCAACAGAAGGCAGAAACAACAGTGAAAGAGACAAAAAAACTTGAAGAACACGCTGATTCTTTTGAACATTGTGTACAGTTGTCATGGATCGAAGCACATCACGGCCCAACTCCCGCAGGAAACAGGTTCGCCAAGTCACATGGTCACACCGCTCCCTGCCAATTCAACTGCTAGCGGGGCATTCGCTCCTTTGCTTTTTTGCTTCGTCGATCCAGGTCATCGTGGTGGTGGGAATGGTGCTGCGCAGCCCTCCACCTCCTGATCGTAGGAGGTAAGGCTACTCTGAGGAGTCAGTTCGGGTCCGTCAAAGCAATGGATCGTGGGCAGCGATCGTGGGAGTTTTGAGGTCGTGAGTGGGAAGATCCCGCCGATCTGCTGCGTCGTCTTTTGTGATTTTCTGGCAGAACACATCACAATCAAGCAGCCGGCCACACCTCGTCCTCTTTTTAAAGATGTCTTGGACGCGATGAGGCATCATGGTGGCAATGGGCTGGGCATTCCTGGGGTTGGTCTAGGGGCGACAAAACCAACCTGCTTGGCACGCTTGGCTGCTTGGCCGCCCGAGCCGGATCGCGACCAAGCCCTTGATGGCGTGGCGGATTGGTGGAAGTTCGATAGCAAGTTAGATGATCGTGCCTGATGTGCCTGCATGTCCTCCTGGTGCATGGCAACTGCGAAGACGAAGATGGTGGCTCCAAGAGCCAAAGATAGAAAGAAAAACATGAAACCAGGGCCTATCCCCATCCTGCCTTCTTTTCGGCACTGCCGACTGAGTCGTACAAGGAATGGCGGCGCGCTGTCCGGATGTGGATGCATACCATCCATTCTGACCAGGGAGCTGACAGTCGCAGAAGTGTCCGGTCCTGACGGCCTAGCATTGATTTTTCGACACTTGAGAGTTCGTCCTAGAGGAGAAAAAGAGTCAACGCGGGTGCAACCAACTGTACCGTGGCCGGGGCTGCAGCTAGCGCAAACAAGAAGCAGACGGCAATTCCAGAAGGTCATCAACCAAAGCACCTGCACCTTGGTCCATGGCATCGCCAACCCATGCCGCAATGACGGCTGTGTTGGACAGTTTTTCTTGACAGACAAAGTCAGAAGCCTTCGCACGTCGCGAGCGGATATATGGTCGCTGCAAATCGGGTTTCTTAAATTGGCCTCCAAGCCTTAATGGCTAAACAATCTCAGCTGACACACCATGAAGCTGTGTCAAATCTGTAGCCGGCAGTGCCTTGATTGAGCGTGAGATTGCCTTTCGTCGCCATCTATGTAAACATGCGCTTGTTGAACGCGCGGCCGATTGGTTCCGTTTTGGGGCTGGAGTGAAGAGATTGTCTCCGTACAGGGTTCATTTGGAAGTCTCCCTCAAAGGCCACGTTGGCCTGATCGCACTCGTGAATTTTGTTGGGTTGGAGAGAGGAAGTATCCATTATCTGTTGCGGATCAATGATTGATTGCCTCGTAATCCAACTTGGCATGAGCTGGATCATGAACAACAAAAGAAGCCCAAAGCTGTAGGGAAAGCTTCAAAGTCCAGGTCCCACGCTCACAAAACCGTGTGAACAAGTCCAGTTCCTACCGGGAGCCTGCCATCCACTCGCGCTGGGAGGAGGAGGAACAGGATGCCCATCTGTTGGGGATCCTAACAGCTGCTTAGCGCAAAGCGGGTTTGAGCGTATGACATGGGGCATATGAAAACCATAGCTCTTCGCGCCAATCACGAACTTAGTGTGCAGAATGAGAAGGAACCAAAGCTAGCAGAAGCCTCTTGCTGTCAGGCTAAAAACCGGCTGCTTCGAAAATGCGGGAAGAATGGCTGCAGGTAGCGCAAAGCCGTGACCTGACCATGCCTTCATCCCTGGTTCAGCAAATTGCTGATGGTGAGGCGCGCATAAGCACCAATGCCTGTCTCAGTCAGGAGGATGAGCTGAATCCCATGGAACAGTTGCGATGTGCGTCCATCTCAGTTTTCCAGTGGCTCGACTCACATGCAGGTAGTCTGAACGCACGATCTCGTCCGCCCAACCTTGTTTCTCTGGCACCAGGTACACAGGTCTACTTCCACAAGCTGCAAGGACTACATCGCCGGTTGCAAGACAATGCGACAGGTCAGCATGGGCCGGCCATTGTTGCTGCCACGGAGGGCGTGGATAAAGTTTGGGTTAGATATAGGGCCAGTCGGGTAGTGTAGTCCGGGGTTGCTCGGGAGAACTTTCGACTACCAACCCCCGGAAACCAGCACAAAACCCCTGCCACCCCCCCCCCCCAAATAAATATAATTATATACCAACGGAGGGTAAGTTAGAATGCCTGGCTGATATGTGTTTTCTTTTTCTACGCAGTTAGAACGTGACGGTAAAATACGCACAAATAGAATGAGCAGCAAAAATAGGCAGGTAGAATGCGGGCGAACAAAAAAGGGTCGCACATTGAATGCGTGGCAAGAGGGTGGCGGAATTGCCCTATTTTTCACGTTTCTTCACTCTCGCAAATGCATTGTCTCATGATTACATTCCGAATCTGTGATGGTCCTTGCATCCCTATAGCTCATACAGTACATCTGCATGAAGTCCACAAAAGCTTACATAGTAAAGTTGTTGCGAGATATATATAGAGAGAGAGATAGTGACAGACTGAAACTTAGAACGTTGAAAATCAGTTAAATGCAGAACGCTGGTCATGCTGGCATTCTAAGTTTCACTCGGTCGCTGGCAATCCAGGGAAAGGTATCTTTTCAAACCTGATGTTCACAAGGACATTGTTTGTATGTACGCATGCGCGTTCTATATGTGAATTGCGAATGGCTGACAGTTAGAAAGACATTGTGGGGGACGCAATATGGACTTGCCTTTGGAGCCCTTGGACACGATTGCCACTCATTCTAACTGCAGGGAAAAGTTTGGACACGCAATTCTATCATGTCCGTCCAGACAGAGAAACCTGAATCTTTTTGAGAAACCCGTCTCCGAAGCTTACAGGTTCGTAAACATAAAAACCATGGCCGGAAGGGGCGTTCAGAATGCCCACAGATAGAATGGGGCGTCGCAAATATGTGCGGGGGTGTTTTGGCTCTCCTCTCGAAACATGTGCTCCGGCCCGGGCATTCCAACTTCCCCTCCGGAAACAAATATATATATATATATAGTAATATTATATGTATATATACACGAGGTTCTCAAAGAAATGCGGCAAGAGCTGACCGGCGCCAGGCGGTTGTCCGGATACGAAGACATCAGCCAAGAGAGTCGCAACGCAGAGCAGCCAGAGCTGTCAAGGAGGGTTAGAGGGCACGTCAGAAAGCCCGAAGCCCTAATCCCTGAAGCGCAAGATGAGACATGTGCACAGAGCTGTGAGACGAACAGCGGTCAGCCAGTAGTGTTCCTTCCGGTCTGGCACCAAAATCAAACAAAAGGTAGAATACTTCAATCGGGGAACGGGTTCTCAAGTTTGGAAGACTTTCAAGCTCGCCTTGAGCAGCCCTGCAGCCTCGAATCCGCGCTCTCTCGTGGCTGGAGACAGACCTTCGTTTGGCAGCTAACATGTTGCCTCAAGGCCTGGAACTGCTGATGAAGCAGAAAAAAGAAAAATCTGCCTGATCCAGAAACCATGGGCTCTGGGCTCTCTCAAAAAGGTCACAACGAATGATTTTTTCCAGACCTGGAAATATTTTAAGGCCAGACTCCCCCCCGCTCAGCAGGTTTGGATTTCAATGTGTTTGAGGTGGGGGTTGTTCCTTGGGCTCCTGCATGTTTTTCGAAGTCACAGCACGTAGTATAGAAACCAATGACGAGGAGGGACGATTGAAACTGGAATGTAACGCCAGAGAAGATCGTTTTTCCATGTTGGAACAAGGGTTCGACGATCACCTCATGAAACTAAATCTTCAAGCAATGCGAGCTGGAAAGGGGTCGTGGGACTGGTGGCGCGTGCAACTTGCGTCAGAAAATTCAGCTGACTATTCCAGCCTCGGCCAGAGCTTTGGCCATCATTTCGAAAATGATGCCATCAAACCACTAGCTTCCCTCAAGGAGATCTGCAGAGTTGGGTTCCTAAACTCAGTACCTTTACATGCGCAAATTGGCTGCAGGATATTGTGAGCAATCCTTTGGCCGCAACTACCTGACGCCACTCGGAACCTGAATCTGTCGCAGTGGCAAGCCCCTGCAGGGAAGGCTTCTGACAGGTACAAACTCAGCTTGCGTTTGCAGAACATAGGGTTGGAGGCCAGAGAGACTGAATATACTTTTCCAAAAATGAAGAAAGGACTGATGGAGCAGATTGAAATGGGATCCTGAAACCCCAACCCTGGACTCTGAAATTGGCATTCTAATCAAAATGAATATGTGTTAGAGAGCTGGGAAAGTATAGCTACTTTACTTGTTCGAGAACTGTCTTTTCAAATTTTGAAAGAAAATGCAGTTTACATTGGAAACCTTAAGGGCTGGCTACACTTCCTGTTGCCCTTGCAACATCATGTAGTTTTTCTAGCTACAGTAGATCGCACAATGGGATTACCTCGGGCTAAATTGAATTTAACGGTCGACAGTGGCTTCAGGCGTGCGCTTGCGAAACAGAAAGGCATCAATGACTCACCCCAAACAAGGCGCTGCCAAATAGTCGACGCCCTACACAAATCATACTTGCAGTTTAAGCAGAACCTTTCAGCTGCAGCAAGTTTCAAAAAATTCAGCAGCATCCTTGCAGCTGCACCAAGTTTCAAGAATGGAATGCCTCAACGATTCGGTTGACCCACATGGCACTGTTGAACATTAAACTGTAACGCTGGAACCGACCAAATCCAGTGGATACGCCAATATCACCTATTAAAACATACCCACAGGGAAGCTAGTACATCAAACCAGTCCAAGCTGGACAACTGGCGCCCAAAGAAAGAGTCATCAGATCACGCATGGTGACCGTAAACACGAAACAGTTGTCGAATGGTTTCGAACCTAAGGGTAGACTGTGTGTTGGGGGCCATCGAGGTCCCAACCTCGAGCAGTATGGCGACGCAGCCAGCCCAACAGCACTTTCGTTAGCAGTTAGCGCACACCTTGTTGATTTGTATCGCAATCACCTTAGGCTGGGAGATAAATAAAGCCGATGTTACAGCCTGCCTTTTTGCAGGGTCTTGCACTCCCAAGCTCAGAACCCCTGCAAGTGCCGTCAGGATGTCCCAAAGAAGTCACGGACTACTTGAGTTCGTTTGCGGGCTAGAGTGACATGCTTGAAGAAACAAAAGGATTTTTTGGATTGAGCGAATCGCCCAGGCTCTGGTATCTTCGTTTTCGAGATACCCTGGACTGATCCTTGTCTTTTCATGAAACACAACATACAAGGGCAGTTGATCGGCTTGATCACCTTGCACGTCGACGACACATTGCTGACTGCAAGTGCAGAAGTGTAAAATGACTGGCAAGAGCTTCAACGTCAATTGAAGTTCGGTAGCTGGACCCATTTGCGGGAAGGTGGTCGAGTCATGCGCCAAAGTGAAGATCAACAATCGGTGACCAATGACATGACTCAATATTGCCCTGCAAATCAAGTTCGACGCACATATGAAAGATGATGACCCAGTGAGCCAACAGGAGTCCGCCCAGCTTCGGGCCCGAGTTGGACAACTTGGTTGGCTCGCAAAGCCAGGAACGCCAGATCTGGCCTTTGCAGTGTCTTTCCTCCAACAGGCGTCCAATTCGTTGACCAAGTTACGTGGCACAAAAATGTGCTTTCCACAGTTCTGTCAAATCAACAATGGACAGTCGTGGAGGATGAAGCATGGCAGCGGGTTCGTGCTCACCAAAGATCCACTCAGTGAGCCTAAAAATCCAGGCTTCGATCTGAGAGGGAGGGATCGGGTGAGTCAAAAGATGCTTGAAGAACATGCCGTAACATGCCGATTCTTTTGAACATTGTGTGCAGTTGTCATGGATTGAAGCCCATCACGGCCCAACTCCGGCAGGAAAAGGGCTTGCCCATGTTGTGCGAGTCACATGGTCGCGCCGTTCCCTGTCACTTTAAGTGAAAGCAGCTAAAGAAAGCTGAGCGGTAGAGAAGGAAATGACAATGATACAAGTTGAAAACGACAAAATCTGGTGAAACTTGCAAGCAAAAGCCCAAGAGTAGCAAAGCTGCAAAAAGCTGAGAATTCCGGGGAGCAAAAGGAAATGAGAAGGGCAAAGAATAAGCACTGATGAGCAGGAATAGCAACTGGAAAGCCAACGAACTGACTGACCGAACCATGGCAGAGCATTATATAGAGTTCCTCCAGCTTTTGGCTTTTCAAGCCAAGAGGCACAGGGTCTGCTGATGCTAGCATCGCTGAAAGAAAGGATTGCACGTGGTCATGATTTCTCGCGAGGCGTCTTCCCGCTTGTTCTGATACTCCGCGCACACAGCGCAACTGACTGGCTAAGGTCTCCTTCCCATCACGAGAAAAGTTCACAACATTCTCCGCTTGCATCAAATATGCATGTGCACAGGTACCTGTCCTTCGGGTTTTCACCACGCCGAGATCGAAATGGCCTTTCCTCTGTCAATAGCGCCACAGCAACATGCAAAGCAAGAACCCTCAACATTCTCGACCAAGAAAAGGAGAGGAAAAAGGAAGATAAGAACCAATTTCAAGAGCCCTTAGCCACTTAGCCGCTTAGCCCTTACCTTCCTTTTTCCTCTCTTGTTTCCTTTCAATCTCTCCATCTCCTCAACTCTGGTCACAAGATGTCACAAGAGGCACGCCTTGCGGGAGCCATACTGCAACGGTCTCATCTTCAGTAACTTTGGGTACTCCTTCCACAAGGCATTTGGAAGTGTTATATATATATATATATATGTACTGTGCTCAATCAGCGTTGCACTTGTGTAATTTCTCAAAATGCTACACGTCATGGCTATTCCATTTCTGTCCAGCGAGATGACATTGATCAGCTCGGCTGTTCCTTGCAAGTTATCAGAGCGTAGTACTGGCAGCTGATCACGAAGAGAAAGCCTACATTTGCAATGGCATGATCTGTCGGTTGACCACAAGAATACCACAAGAATGCTCACCTGCCTGACCATAGTTGCCAAGGCCAAATTCCTCAGTCCTTCGTAGGATAATTTTTTCAAATGTCTCAAATGGGGCATAGGCTGGTTAAGCTCCGAGAAGTCACCCTCCACAATGACAAGTGATTGAAGCCTGCCATGTGGGAAGCCACAAACATCCACAAACCATCACAAAAGTATAAGTTCTGAGAAAGGAAGAGCTAGTCTCAACTCGATTGTCATTGCTGTGCAATGTGCTCTACTTAGGCTCTCTTGCGATGTCATCTATTACCGAATCACCATTGGTTTTCCAGGAATAGTGAAATGCACATTGTCACAAGGAACCCTGCCTGCAGTACTCTGTGTGATGCAATTGGTTGCCAATTTGATTGACAAGCCGACAGTCGAACACTGAAGATACCAGATCACAGACGGCCTTCCTTTCTATGTAAATTTCATAGGGAAAGCTACCAAGAATAACGTCGCCCACACGTAAAGTCTCCACACAAAATGGGATTTCCATGCGTTTCCGTAGGCACTCCTCAGCTTCTGGCAGGATCTAGAGCAGCCATTGTGGAAAGAAAACAGTGTTCAAAAAGAAGAATGAGTCATTATTATGAAGTTGAGCCAGCAAAAAAGAAGCCTTATTGAAAAGACCCAAGCATCTGGATCTTGCTCTGGTGATAGTACATCTATCTATCTGTCTGTCTGTCTGTCTATCAATCTATCTATCTATCTATCTATCTAGTCAGTTCCCATGCTGTTGTTTTCTCTGTTCTTCTAGTGCCAGGTTGGAAACCAAGTAAAAACTGATGACCTTGCTCAGTTCCCTCCAGCGCCAGAAGTTTTCTGAAGCCTGACTATGCAACTGGGATTCAATTAGTTTCTTTTCACGGGAATCAACTCGCACCAGAATGTTGGCATCTAAATGCTTCGATGGGTCCTGGCAGAAGTTTGCCAGAGTCAATTCCAAAATATTCGATCACTCTCACTACAACTACTTGCATTCCTACTATGATGACAAAAAAAAACCTAATAATTACTGCTTCTACTCAGTTCTCACTGCGACAGCAACTTCATACTCCATGACAGGACCAACTACACCCTTGATTACTATTGCCACTAGCACTTCTGTCCCAAGAACTGGTACAACAAATCAAACCCACTTCCCGAGGAAATGCTAAAACCAATCAAAAAGGAATGCCACAAAATTGTTCAGAAGCACATTCAAGCTTGCACAGTGAAGTGTACTGGCAGTGCTCTTATTGTCTTATTGCTTGTGCATCTTGAACACCTGTTGAAACACGCGTCGAAAAAAATAACCTTTATGGTTGCAGCAAATGTGCTCTGAAAATGCAACTGAAAAAAATCACTCCAACTCGCAACCAAGAATACCAACACACCCAAAATTTGCTACAGAAACTCAAGCCTGGCATGACAGACCATTAATGCTGATGGCTCAGCTTCACAGGAAGTGACTCTGGCGACAAGATTTTGACCCTCTTGCCTCAGTCTCTTCAGCATGGTCTTGTGACAAGTAGTGCGCCCAAGCTCTCATAGTTTTGGACCACTTGCCTGAAAGGCTTGTGAGGCTTCTGCCTTGTACCACCAGCACCGCTTCCATTTGCATTTTCAGTGGGCAGAAGCTAAAGGACCACATGTCTCTACCAACACCCGTCTTGAAAAATCATGCATTTGGTTCACTCCAGCCTTCTACTCCAGCTTCATACAGGTGTTGTCCAAAGTTGCCTTTGAAACCTTTGAGAGCCACTATCACATCGGAGTCAGATTTCCTTGTCTCTGCAACAACTGGCAAACTGGTGAGGCTGCAACCAGAACACTCATGCAACCGTTGTTAGAATTTTGGTGATCTATCTTGAAACTAGTCGCAAGCAAGTACTCCAAACTGACATTGAAACTTTGAGCAAACAATCACTCAAAACCTAAAACAAGTTGGCCCAGCAAATCCCACGGTTCTTGGAAGTGAACCTGACTGGTTGTCCTCCTTTCATCACTTCGAAGCTTTCGGAGGTCACAAATCGCATCTGCACCGAATAGTGATGTCCACAGCGAGTGATGGCCCGGTGATGCAGAAGCTTCCGAAGCGTCCACATCGTGAATTCTGTGCAATTTCTGCAAGCAAAAAACTAACATGCTTGAGAACAAATCTCACTGAACAGCACAGCCTGCATGTGGGAACGGCCAAGAATACTTGTCGCATGTGGATAAAGCATTAAAAGAACAGTTTAAACAACCATCATCCATCTCCAGTCCAAGGAAGTTTCCAATGAAGGTTGCAATCCCTTCTGTTGAGTGTGGGCCAAGCCTGAAGTTGAGTTCCCGAACAAGATCGAACCTGAGCATTTCGAAAACAAACCTGCTGCTTCAATGTCCTACCCTTGCAAATATGATATGCCAGCGCAAGCGCATTTGCAAAGAAAAAACAGTGACAATGCGTCAAGGTCTAACTTTGCAGATGTGATTTGGCGCAACACCTTAGCCTCAGGTTTTGACTCTTCCAAAGAATCCATGGCATGGGCGACGGAAAGTCTTGGCAACTTGTCCAAAAGACACTGTCACAAGGTTGTTTGCTCCAAGTGCGCATGTTATTCATCTGTCGCTTTGAATGTTGAAAAGCAATGGGTAAGCGAAACAATATTCTGTTGGTGGCGTGTTCATAATCCACTGGTGAACGCAAAGATCTGACAAGGTTTGCATGCTCAGCCACTCTGCGCAATGTCACAAATTGTCACCAATGTCGCCATCCAAAAGCATACATTGATCAACTGCACGCTGAATGCCAGCATCATTGAATGCTGCAAAACAATGGTTGAAAATTGCAAAATCATCTGCTGAGTGGCTGCAGTTGCGAGTTGCAACAAGTACCACGACATCACAATAATGCAAAGCAATGGCACAAATCAGCCTGCTTTGCGTGTTGAACCAAACTGTTACAAATTGGCAAACCGGCACGTCAAAGTTACAATCAAAACCCAATGCGAAAGATCCAAACTGGTAACGACACCTGCACCCAAATTAAAAAACGACTTCAAAATTATCTATCCCAAACAAAACACTATTGTCTATTGCCCGTCAATTCAATCAGAACTCCTCCAACTTGAGGGGCCAAATGTTCTTGATCATTCCTATGACAAAACAATTTTTTCCCTGGGTGCGCGTGCAAAGGTCGAAGTCTAACGTATCCATCACATTCTGGTCTGATTTCGTGGCATCAGACAAGTTGTTTTGTGCCCAGAGTTTGCTTCAGAGCGACTTTGGGTTTCTCTTCAGTCTGATAGAAGAAAGAGTGTCTGAATGTGTTCTTTCCTTGCGCGTTGACAGGTTAATGCCAAACCTCACAAAGTGGAAAGGAGACCAAAGAAGGTGAAAAGTCGGAGGTCCGAACGCGCAAGATCAACTTCACCGGCGAGACTTATGAGGGATGGGTCAGAAGCGCCATCATCTTTGCCAAGTCACCTCCTGGTCATCTTTTTCAAAAGCCGCCCCCCTACCCCCTAGACTCCTAACACATGAACATGTTGCGAGGTTTTTAGAAGAGATGTGGAGGAGTGAGTTCCCTGTATTTTGTAGGAGTATATATTTAAAACAGGGTGGAGGATTAAATATATTGGAGGAAACAAGTGGAGGAGAATTGCACTCCTCCACATTTTGTTGTTGTGATTTGTTGTGTAAGAGAGATCATTCCGTTTCACAAACTGTTTTTGGTGTTTTTCTTGAATAGAATTTCAGCGGAGGAGCGGAGGAGTGGTTACGAAGATGACAATTTTGGGTGTGGGCATGGGAATTTCACGATTGGTAGACACCGTTTCCGGCTTCAAAACAATTTGCAATTCTTCAGACCAACCAAAGTACGCCTCAGTAACCGATCCCCTGCGGTTTGTCCGACAGTGACCAGTTCTGGCTCAAGGAACGTGTGGTGGAACGGTGCGAGCTGATACCTTGAGAAATCGAAAGTTGGGTGTTGCCAGAATTTTTGTTTCAGAACGGTTGGGGGTGTTCATACAAGTTGCATCTCTCACATCGGCATACCCTAGTGTTGGTTGATCACAAGGTGCTAGTTGTGCAACGCAGGGGCGTGTGCATCACTTGCATCACCAAGTGGCCACAGCCAGATATATCACTGTTTTCATCCTAGTTGGTAGTCTTTGCTTTCGGGGCAACGGAGGCGGATCTGCAATGTCGGGATCTGCGGAAGTTCAAGGGTTTTGAAGATGAACAGCATGAAAGAGTGCGTTTGGTTTTCTGGGCCTCTTTGAGCAGTGAAACCAAGAAGAGATTTCTTTTCCGAACGAATGTCTTGAAGTTTGAAAAATTTGTGGAGTGGTTTTGTCTGACGTTTGCAGCTTTGAAATCGCATCGAGTTACGGTTTTAGTTGACTACAGGCCCTTCGGGCCCACTCGGCCGCTTGCCAATGTGTGCTTTGCATGGATTCAGCGACCTCATCCGGGAGCTCAGATTCATTGCGGGAAATTTGGTTGAAAGAAGATATCTCAACTGCATCTCTGCCATCAATAGCATATGCCTTTGATGAAGAGTTTGAGGCATCTCCTGTTTATTCAGTTGGGATCGAAAGCATTGCAAGTCCATTGAGCCGTAGACGACCTTTTTTTTGGGCACGCGAACGCTGCAAGTATCGAGAACGTTGGGGATTTGTCAAGCTCTTCCATTTTAGACGACTGCCATTCCTCTTTTTGAGAGCTTTTTGACTTCGTGCATTCTTGGAGCAACGATGTGGGCAAGTTCACGAACAAGTCTGGATCTCGGTCACCGATTCATAAGTCCAATGAGGGGATGATTTTGGCACAGTTTGACGGAGTTGGGGGCGGTTCGCCATTGAATCAGTCTTCAAACAAATCTTTATTGCGATTTGAAAGACGACGGAGTGTCTGCGACTTGGAGCTTTGAGTGCGATGCAAATGTGCTTCAAGACAGTGGGCCGCAACTGTTGCAGTTCACGCAAAATGCGTCGAAACATCGAGGGCTTTTGCCCTACTTTTGAGTCCGCATTCTGTCCCATGGAGAAGCTGTTCTGAGAGGGTTCAAACGACTGAGGATTTTCTTCGGTAGCTCAAGTTGTTTGAACTTGCAGTTGCGGGTGGCCAGTGATCTTTCCTCAATTTACGAACTCTTTCGGGGTGAGTTTTGCTTCTTCCATGAAGGTAGGTATGCCAATGACATCCAAAGAGATGTCCTTGCACCTGAGGACAGGAAAATAGAAGTTTCTCGCAAGAACCTTTCCAGCATCAACTGATCGAAAATGATGGGTCCCAAAAACCTCTCTCCTGTTTGCCAACCCCCAATCCCAGAAAAAAGGTCAAAAACCTCCAAGCCGGTGTCACAATGCTTCCTGATTGACGACCGCTTGCACCAAGGCATGTCGCTCCGAAGGAAAGTGAACAAAGAACCAGGACAACTGTCAAGCATGCCCAATGGGCCACAAGCTTCAAAGCCGCGGCTCAGCCATGAGTCGTGAACAGAAATGCGAGGAAAGGTCAAGACGCATCACAATGACCCTCAATCGAAAATCTTCCAAGTGCAATGAACACCCTGGAAAGAAACCTGAAAGGAAAGTCACAGGCCGAACCACCAAAACAGGCAACCCACAAACAAAAATACGGCCACAGACATCGCAGATCCAAAGTGAATCAAGTCCAGTGCAAGGGACCTCTGCCTCGTTCTTAGCTAGGAAAATTTGACAATCTTCAACCCCAAAGTTCCCAGCAAGTTGATGAGACTTTTTCTTCTTGCGTTGTTTTGGAAACATAGGAGAAGTGGGAACTCTTACTCACTGCCCCTTTCCAATTGCCAGTCGGAAGTCCAGCGTGTCAGCCTTGGAGTGGAGCCTCAACGCAACAAGGGCTCGCATGCGTTGACGGTGTTTCTTTCACGAAAAATGTTTTTCATTGTGCGTTCCGCTCGCGGTGTCGTGACAAGTTGTGGAGGAACACAGTGTTGAGCATTTTGTTGGGCATCTCTGGCTTGAGAGGGTTGCTCCTTTCAAGAGGCATCGAATCCTTCGAAACAGGAATTGTTACTCGAGAAAGAAACCCAAGAACACCCAATCGGTCAGCCTTACAAAGGAAAAGTTCATTCCCAAGGACTTTGTTTCCAACACGCAGCTGCCAAACTTGGCATCCACCCGAAAAATTGTGATTGACAAACTCGCTCAAACCACCAACCGTCTCCAAAGGGCAGATCCCAAAAGGATTCACCACAAATGGTTGAAAAGGAAGCAAGACCCGGATCACCCCACCAAACCACCGTCTTTCGGGGTTACAACCACCACTGAGGATCTTCCATGTACGCTGGTTTTTGGCAAAGCGATGCTGATGACCTCTCCACATGAAATCCCGGACGAGTGCACAGCATGAAACGCAGTTTCCGAAAACCGTCACGAACCTGAACCTCCAAACCTGTTGTAGGTCCTGAAGCAATCAATGTCCATTATCGTTCCATTTGTGCTGGTGTGGAGCCAAAACCATTGAAGAAATTGGGGGTTGAGTTTGCCAAGATCTTGGTTGCTCGTGGGGTCTCAGAGTGTTGGGGAAAGGATCAGTCAAAAAGATCCCACAACAGAAGCTGGTTGGCTGTTTGAAAAGGATCCGATGTTTGGAAGGCTTTGAAGCTTGAGGCAAACGAGGCCAATGTTCAGTTGGTCACACCCTCAGAGCGCGCAAGTTTTGAGAAACATTTTTGCAGAAGGATGACAGTGGAAGAGTTACAAGGCAGGGAAAAATCGTGCGAAAAAACACAAACAGAAGGTTGTGACCTTTGAGGATGCCATATAAAGCACCTCCATTTCCTCATCCATCAAACTTCACATACCTCCTTGCTTTCGACAAACCTTGTCTCATCCACACGCCACTTTTGCCTCTATTGCATTTGTAATTTTACGTTGGCGCCAAAATGCAACGTAAACATACACTCTGCGACAGTTCCAACAAGTGGCTTCTGCGCGTCATCCGACCAAAGCAAACACAGCTAAAACCTTTTCCGTTGAGCCAGGTGACTTTCCAGCTTTGTGGCTGGATGGGTTTGAAGCCAGCAAACTTTCATTCAAAGTGAAACTTTGGGCATCAAGCTTTGCTAATTTCCTGCGGACTCCATGGACACAGACACAAAAAAAAGCAGAGCATTCTTGAAAACCGTAGAGACCGACCCGCCAAAAATGGCCTCACGTTTGAGGCCAGGAAGCGTAGAAGGCAAATTTTGAAGCCAGAATTGGC